TAGCCGTTCTGTGGGGAGTTTGCTGGATGTTTTACGAGGGAACTGGCAAAGACCGCGTGCCGTACAACAACGTGCTACACAACCTCAATCTGTCGTGGGATACCGATGCATCGTCAGACTGTATGTGTTACATTTCTTTCCGCCCGATGAAGCTTCTGCTCAGGTGGATGACTGGTTGCGATTGGTCGAGCGTGAAAACACGAAGAAGGTTTGTGGTTATCCCGATTGGTGCTAATGCATTGCAGACCTCAGCTTTGGCCAAGAGCTGATTGGCGAGCAGCCGCAGCATGCGACGCCTGCGACAAACGTCCATGTGGACCATGCTCCATTCCAGGCACGAAACACGGAAACCTGGGAGCCCGATCTGAGTTTGAATGGTCTTGCGGACAGGCTGCCAGTTCCAGTCCTGCGGGTTAGTCAGGCTGGAGAAGGTGCGGACCCAGAGCCGCGACCAAGTAAGTGCCTAGTGTCCCGTGTCCGTTTGAGTTGAGTCACGACTTCTCTGCCTACCCTGGGTTTCAGGCTGGACTTGTTCGCAGCTGCGACTAACAAATCCAAATCCAGATACTTATTATGGCGTATCCGCACCAACCTTCCAGGCAGTTCCGCCCGTTAATTTTTATTCGCCTCAAGATCAAGGCATTGCTGCGCCACCTCTAACGGCCTTTCCGCATCTGGGCTCCGACCACGAAATTCCTTGGCACTCATATACGTTGCCACCTCAAGACAGTCCGCGTCATCTGATCACTTCTACTCAAGATCCGAGAGTTAGAGTCACCGGAGCGGCGGGAAGCGATCTCTTTGCTCAGCCACAAACTGCCTTCGCGTCTCCCGGTATATATCAACCAAGCCGCCAGCCTCAGGCCCAGCAACACAGTTACAACCCTCAGTATTTCAACCTTGGATTTTCAGACATCATGACTGAGCTTTCGCCAAACCCTACTTCCATGCAAGTGCCGCACGAGCACAAGCGCAACATTTCCATCAGTTCGCTCACCGATATGCCTACCCCGGTCAGCATGAGCGCTCGATCACCCATGACTTCTCCGACCGCTGGCGAACGACAGATCATTGTTACAAGCCCGCCTCGAAGCCACAGCAGGGGACTCTCTGTAGACTCCTCGCAAGACGGCGATGACGACGGATCACTACGGAAGAACCACAGCTACAAACGCGCCGAAGAACCACCGCGCAACGAAGACGGCAAGATGGTGTGCAAGTATCAAGAATGCCGCGGTACATCTTTTGACCGAAAGTGCGAATGGAGGTGAGTGATAGTATTCCCAGACTCACACGAACAGACACTGACGTTTACAGCAAACACATGGACAAGCATGACAGGCCTTACAAGTGCAACGTCAAGGGCTGCGAAAAGCTCCAAGGCTTCACTTACAGCGGTGGCCTTCTTCGCCACGAACGCGAAGTTCACAAGATGCACGGCGGTACCAAGAAGTCCCTTTTCTGCCCCTTCCACGACTGCAAGCGCAGCTCAGGCGCCGGCTTCACGCGGAAGGAGAACCTCGCTGAGCATGTCCGTCGTGTTCATCGCAGAACATCAATGTCGGCAGATATGCATGGCTTGATCATCCGCCGCGACATGGTCAGGCGTGAGATGGAGGGGGGTTCTCCCATTCCTGAGTCACGCACCTCGGAGTCACCGTACAACCGCACCATGGACTACCGCGAGGAAGATGAGATGAGTCTGAAGCGCAAGCGACTTGGCTCTGACTCTGGCCTCTCAGACCGTGGTAACGATGAGATGCGCTCTGAGATCAAGCGTCTCCGACAGGAGAATGAAGAGAAGGACTCGAGGTTACGGCAGCTCGAGCAGGCAGTCATGGCTCTTCAACAGAGTCACAGGTGATGACGATATCTTTGCATTGCTGTCACTTGATGCATTTCCCGGCGTTCTTCCGCTTAGCCTCATTCTCTGTTCCATAACTTCACTGTCGCTCACTGTACATATCACTTGAGCGTTTTTACTTTCCTTGTAACACCCCTAAACTGTAATATCTCTTTACTACTTACGCACTCTACGCATGGCTGGCACATGTTCACCCACGATAGCTATGATACCAAAGACTGCGATGGAATGGGTTGGATAGGGGAAGGAAGGGGGGATACGGACAGATGATACCTCGCTCAAATCTATAGATGGAATATGCCACTCTACACTATTGTACTGTAATTCAAAACATAGACACTCGACACTCTCGCTCCTTTTTGCACTTTTCGTGATCTTCTCGTCTGCCGCGGTATGAGGTTGAGTTTGGCTTTTGGCCCCCAAAAACAATGCATACCTTAGCCTCGTTCGCAACGCCCTTGGTGCCTAGCAGGATTGCCTTACCCGCGATGTCTTACGGCAGAAGGGCGCGTGCACTAGCTGCCTAGACAGACGTTCGCATATGCCCAGGCAACCGTGCCGCTATCCATGCCGTTACGGGTGTGATATCCGAGTACGAGGTGCATCGCGAGAACCAGAGTATGTACTGTGTACCATCACGTCATTTGCGCTCTAAAAAGCGCCTTCCACAGCTTCCGGCTTATGCTTCCCTCAAACATTGTGATCATGGTTGTTGCCTTCTCGATGTCATGATCCGACGGACTCCGAACGGACATTCGCCTTCTTAGTCACATCGCCCCAACACAGGCTTCAGCTTCAAATCTGGGTAACATTCCGCTGAGGCAAATTTAGCCACAGCAGCCACGTCGAACAGGTATGACTCCCACCCGTCTCTCCTCCTCGCCCAACAACCCAACAACGTCGTTGTCGCGACCTGATTGGGCGCCAGGCCAGGCCATGTGACAGCGTGTTAGCGCGTTTGGTGCAACGTTTTACGTGTCCTGATGCCTGATTGTGCCGTGTCTTGCCGCCTGTTGGCAGAGGTGGATGGGACGGGTGGGTGTGGGTGTGATGGGGAGAGAATGGGATGGAAGAGGGTAGATGCGATGATAAATAGCGGGTGTGGCGGTGCACAGGGCTAGATCGCTTCGGGTGGCAAGGGTGCGAAATCGTGGCGTTGGTGCGGCGATCATTATTGGACCTCGGCATTTGCGTGCGCGACACTCTGCTTCGCGCTCGCGCGGGTTTGTATTGCGACTGCCCAAAGGCAACATCACTGCAACCACCAACGCGACGACGTCACATCTTCGCTGTCGCGTATGTTGCAACGCTTCCATGGACTATCGCATCCTTTTCGCTATCCGCTCGTGGCGTTGGTGCCTAGTGGTTCTTCTTCATTACAATTACGCAATCGCGACTACAAGCGTCAATCAGGTGTCTTTGCCTTGGGCATTCCACGCTTCCACAGCTACAGACGAAATCGCAACAAGTATCGCAATCACTCCTAGGAAAAGCGTTGCCAGTGTCGCGAGCTCTAGCAGGCTCCGTTGCTTGAGCCACGCGGCCATCGATCGGCATTGTTTTCGGTCATCCAACACCCCAACCAAGATCCGAAGGCGCGCACCCCAGTAATTGTATTGAGCAGCATAACCTCCAACGTGGTCAATCAGGTTGACTTCCAGACAACCCAGATCAAAGCTATGGCTTACAGCTATGGTACGACTAGCTGGATCGTCCCATGGAAATAGAAAGAGTTTGAGTGTGAGGAGCGTCTCTGTAACAAGCCTTTCGGGAATCACCTCGCTATACTACAGTCAGACTACCTAGGTATTAAGAACAAAGAAAGGCGTACTGACCGGCTGACTGTAGTGTTGGAACAGCTTTGACGCAGTTGCTCTTCTAGGAAGCCAACAAAATGGAAGACATAGACCGCCTTCGCCTCGGTATCGTAAAGCAGGTGCTTTCGAAGGTCGTCGGTTCCATATACTGTGACACCTACACGGTCGAGTGCTCCCACTGATGGTCTGGATGCTGTTCGAGATATTTCGCTAGATTGGCCACGTTCCGTTACAATGGGCAGCCTCGACTGTACGAACTCGCACGCTGAAATCCCGTCGTTCCAGTGGACTGGATCGAGCGTCGGATCCTGATAGTGTGGATTACACTCAGAACAATAGATCATCGTGATCACAGTGATGGCAAGATCGAACGCGCGCTTTTGGTCAGCAAGAGCGGGCTGCGGGTGACCGTAGGTCGAAAAGTGGTCTTCGATTAACTCTCGTCTTCTACGCCTGGGCTGATCTTTGACGAGGCGAACAATACCGAGTAAGTCGTGATGGTCGCGCAGCGCCCAGCATCGTTCACTCAGATCGGTAGGCGTACTCCACCTGGTGGTCTCGAAATAGAACTGAAGGTAGTGATCGAGTCGAGCTCTCCGTATCCAAGGGCATCCCGTCGCCACACAGTCTCCCTTGTTGTTGCAATCAGCACAATCTCGCCACCCGAATAGTCCCCGGTAGACCTCATCCTTCATGTCCACTGAAGGATTTTCCAAAGGAAATTGTGCCATGCATGGCAATATCTTGAACTCTGCGGCCATCAGAGCTCTGGAAGTTGACTGTGCGGGTAGTTTTGGACTTTTAAAGTTGACGAGTATGTAGCTGCAGGATTTCTTCAGCCTCATCACGTGTCCATGCCTTGCCACGTTGACTCCCAAGACTGGATCAACAGGATGAGGACCGACTACCTTGGCTGCAGATGCTGCAAAGCCTTCACGTTTAGGCCGGGGTATGACTGGAGCCACCATATGGGCGCGGCTGATTTTGTGCCAAGAGAACGCCTTTCCTTCACCGGTGCGATCTTGAGGCATGAACCCCGCTTTGGCAACCCATTTTTGCCCACTCGTCCCACGATCTGAGCTAGGTCGCAACTTCCTTTGCGTTCTTAATACCGTCTTTGTAGATGTTTTCGGTTCTTCCACGGACGTTGCATGAGGATAATGACGCACGAATTACAAGCCCTGAATTCTCATGGCGGCATCAGCTCAGGCCGAAACAACGAAAACTGTGTCTTACGTTCTGCACATAGCTCACAACACGCGGACGAGACAGCAAGAAAACGAGCTACCCCTTCTGTCGCTGACTCTGCCTATCAATCCATGACAACGAATGCGATTGAATCAACATTGACACCAGAACAGGCGCCAGCACAAACGCAATCGGAAGCTTACGAAATACCTGGAACAGACCTGTACATCTACAAGAAAGCGTATAACAAAGATGCGCTACGACATGGGCGTGGGGTCCGGCATGCGATCGAAGGAAAGATCCAGGAGGACGTGTTTGCGAAAGATCCGAGCCGACCAAGGGACGTTTCAATAGAGCTCAGAATGGTCGGCAAGACTTTCGATGCAGCCAAACTACATGTTCTCATCTTCTGCGCAGCAGACTTGGCAGAATCCCTCGAGGCGATTATAAAGCTACCGGTCGTATTCGAACTCCGACGCTCGAGCCGCGAAACGGTACCTCAGTTGGACATAACTGTAGTACCGAGGCCTATAAGATTAGCGAGCGACGACTTCACAATCGATGCTTGCGGTCAGAGAGCCTTTTTCGCTCGGCACAGAACCTACTGCGGAAGCCCGGTCATATTGCGGACAAATCTAAAGCAGCCTTCGCAGACCCTCGCCCGGAAAGCCACATTCGGAGGTGTACTCAAAGTCACCTATGGCAGTGGTGAGACTGGGTTTCATGGCATGACGGCTGGTCACGCAGTCAAAGAGTTGCTCCAAGAGTGTACTGCGGTACTACCTGGAATGCGTACGGAACCGTCTACGAAGCGGAACGGATTCGATCCTCTAGAGTGGATTGCCGATGATGACGTGCTCGGTCGCGTCTTGCTTCCCCCAGTATTCCCGGGTGTTGCTGCCGGTCGATCGACCTTGACGCATGACTGGGCCCTCTTCGATGTGGCTACTCTTTTGCCGAATATGGTCACTCGGATCCAACATGCGCCAGCCCACGAATCCGAAGGTCTTCAGGATCGGCCAATATTGATAGCCGAGAAACCACATTTCCCAGACGACATCTCAGCAGCAGTCCAGCTTCTAGGCGCCACGGAAGGTCCTCGCGACGGGGAGCTCTCTAGTCTTCCCGCAAGATTATGGCTTTCTCACAACGAGTGTTTTGTGGACGCATACATGCTGAATCTTGCGCAAGGTGATGGTCAGAACTCACTGTTAATATGTCTCATAGATTTATCGCTAACGGCATTGCATCAGTACACGAAGGTGACTCAGGTGCATGGGTTGTTCATGCGACTGCTCCTCATCTCTACGGCCACATCGTCGCTATAAACCCGTTTGGAGAAGCCTACATGATTCCTGCTCTCGGTACTTTCGAGAACATGCGAGAGTGCTTGGGAGCTATATCAGTGACGCTACCGACCGCTGCTGATCTGATTAGCGCGCACTCTTCAAAGTCGCAATATGATGAAGAAAGAGCGACTGCCGCTGCGCACAAAGTCGGTTCATTCGCCTCACGCTCTTGCTACTCAGAGTCGACGCTCAATTTCCAACACTCAACGTCGAACAAGGGAACACATGCAACTGACCATCCGTTACTCGATCTTAGTACAAAGTCTTGGAGCCCTAAATTCGCTACAGAGAGATATATCTCTGATGAACCGTATGGGAAGACAATGGGGAACTGGGTATTTTTTGGTCAACGGCGGGATGTCCTGGACACTTTGCTAGAAGATACGCACAGCCGTATAACTTCATTCCAAATACAAACGCTGAAGAGCTTCTGCCAACAAGGTCTTACCGCTCCTTCGAATTCAGACTCCATGAGCCGGATGGACCAGCAAGTGTGGTACTGGCATGCATGCTCGCGTGAGCATGACCGTCAACTTCCTCAATGGATACCTATCTCAGACCTTAGCCATACATTATGGGAGATTGTAAGTAAAGCATCTCATGTCATCACACTGAGATCATCTACTAATAGCCCTCCAGCATGAGTTCCGCTACAATTCGGCGTCTCACGGGCGACATCTGATGTGAGTAAATCCGCCAAACCTATCGTCCAAGTTCTTCGCTCATTTATCGCATAGATATGTCCCGCATTTAGAGCGCGAAGTTATCTTGGCACTTGCGAAGAGTGTATCATGCAATTTTGCCGAAGCGCTGCGAGCATGCATGGCTAAATTTGTTGTCCGGGAGATGTCATTGAGTGCGACAGTTCCTGTAAGCTGCAACGCAATCTCTGACAGCAGGTACTAACATATTGTTAGCGTGTAGGTTTTATGAAGTTCTGCATGGAGCTTTCTCTTCCTTATCTTACGCTGCGGGAAGTCCCTTCCACAACCCGGAACGATCGCAATACGGGGAAGGACACGAATGACCGGACTGACCTATCTTTTCTAAGCGCACCGGGTTCTACAATATTCTCAAACCATTCTCGTTGGATATTACGAGAAGCTACGACTTCTGTCATGATTTGCGGTACGAGTCATTTCCAATGGACAGGATATGCTTTCAGTGGCGGAGCACCGGTTGATGACGAGGTTCTCGGGGCTAATACCGAATTTGAGGGCGATTGTATCGAAGGAGAAACACCTCTGGAAGACCTGTTTGTAACTGGTGGCAAGCATCGAGCATCGGCCGAGCAAAACACGATTTGGGATCCGCGGGTATACTTCCTCCATTGTGTCGAGTCCCGCGTCGATTCGGCCTGCCAGGAGCTGACATACATCGTTGCGATCATCGAGGCGCGTACGAAACTATGGGTAGGTAGCCCAGATATCTTTCACAGCCACTTGAACTAATCTTCATATATATAAAGAGCCAAGATGCCCTCGCCAACTTTGGCACGACTTCATTCACAGATGGTCACGTACCGCTGGAAAGCTTGCGAAGAGTTTTGCTTCACGTACGGCAGGTGCTCTCTTCAACGGTACGTGCGTGGGACCAATTTGCAGGTCTTGGTGGTGACAAAGCCCTCTTCTCGGATGTGGAAAGTCCCGGTGGATGTCTAGCACTGCACATCATCAAGGAACATTTCGAAAAATTGCGATTGTTGGAAGCAAGAATGGACACCATGGATGAGTTCTGCAAGAACTGTTTCGAATCCGCAAGTCTTATATCCTGAACTCTCGAACGAAACCTAACCTTTGCAGTTTTCCATACGCTCTGAACTCGAGAAAAGGGTACAGCGCCGAAGAGCACATGAGCTCAATATGGAGACCAACCAGATCTCCTGGAAGATACAGATTCTGAACAGGAGAAGTACGGAGGCCGCTAGGGAGACGAGTAGGGGAATGAGAACAAATGTCTGGCTGTTCGCAGTAAGCTTACCCGGTATTATGCGCTGCTTAAGAAACACTACTAAGAGAGTGACCTAGATCACAACCCCGACCGTCTTGACCCTTCAGTACTTCACAGCTGACCGCAAGATCTTTGACTTTGATCGCACTCCAAAGACATTTGCTGTATCGCTATCTGTAATGATGCTAGCGTTGTCTGTACTACTTCTTCTCCTGTCTTATTTAGAGAAACTGTGTAATTTCGTATTCGCGGTGCTGAAGAAGAAGAAAGGATGGATTCATTCAACCGACGTGGAAGCCACGCTCTCTGGGACAGAGCTTCTTGGACTCGAATCGCATTCCCAATCATATTCGGAAAAAAGAAGAGTCTAGGAAGACGGTAAGTTGAGTTCTGAGATCCACGTAAAAGACTAGTTCAACATACCATCTTGCATGCTCCACCAATGCCATTGTATCTCAACAGAAACCGAGATCGCTTAAGCTACACTCGATTGGTCCATGTCAAGTTTCATGTATACAATCTATTTGGGACAAGTGTCCTTGTCTGCTGATTCTGCGCCCAGCAGTGGACTTGGGAGACACCACCATCTACTTAGGTACAATAAGGGTCTCTCTCGATAGTCTGCCGCAGCCCACGTGCAGTCCTGTGGCGCATCAGTTGGGCTAGACCTGATTGCGAGAAATCTCATCGAAAAACTCAACGCTGTAATGACCAACTCCAACTGCTGCGCCCTTGAGGTAATGGCGAGTATGCCATATAGGCGGGGAAGTGGCGCTTGTTGCCTAGCGGCGATCTCCACGTCGTGTGCGCGACACGCCCCCAGGGCTCTTCGCGTGGCCTGTCGCAATCACCCACGCGACGTGACTGCCTTTCTGTCTTGTACGTCGCGATACTTCCATGAGCCTCCACATCTCCTTTGCGACACACGAAAAAGTTACTCAGGTGTACCAAAGCGACAAAAGCGCACCTACATGAGCACAAGGATGACGCCTCCTAACTGTGCCGCAGTCCATCGCCCCCAGCGCCGCTCGTTGCAAGCACAACGCAACAGCCTCCTTCTCCTCCTCTTCCTCCCCATTGTTGCGTCGACACTCTCGGACAACTACACATGATGTTGCAAGCTTTCTGTAGTCACACTCTGGCTTACTTGAGAATCTAGCATCCTGCATGCGTCACCGAAGCCGTTCGCAATCAGCGCTCCACGTTTCCTCGCTGTACGATTGTTCATACGATCAATCCACTGCGTTCCTCCATCCTCGCTACGATCTCCGACCACACCTTACTTGTTGATGCAAAAAGGTGGATACACTGCTGCGGCTCATGCTGCATGCCAGCCTCCGCCTGCTTGCCGCCTCAGTCCACGACCGTCATAATATACTGCTGCAACAGTCCATTCCTCCACATACGACCATAGGATCATGAAAATTAGGCTTCCCGTCCGCTCAGCCATATACAAGCATGATACCGGCGGATTAGTAGTTAGGTGGGTGACCACTAGCGAATCCCCGCTGTTGTATGTTTTTGGCATTTTTTGCACCGTGGAACTTACCGCTCTTTTTTGCCAAACCGAGCGAGGAATGGACAAAGCGCAGGCGTGGGCTTATGATTACAAGGCAGCTCGTTCTCCTACAGCGCACTTACAGGCGAAGCATACCCTGAAGTGTGGAACGTTTCTCAACCTCAACCCAACGCCGCTATGTCATATCACGACAGCTACGAATTACCCAGAGAAGATGAGCACAATGTCAGCCCTGCATGGTTTGAGCGACAGAAGCAGCGTCCTGTCGAGAGCCATGACCCGAGCCTTCGCGACTGGCTTGCTACGGAGGTCGACGCATTGAAAGCATACCACGATGGCCACATTACTGCAGATGAGGCGGCATTGTCCATGACACACCCACTGTCCACCTCGCCTGTACCAGCATTAGGAGGCTATTCTGATCATCTCCTGGCTGTTGATAACCTATGGGGAGTTATCATAGACGCTCTCATGGAATGGCCATCCACACGTGTCCCGGAGATCTTTACGCTACTGAATGCGATCGCGAAGGCGCCGGGTAAGATCCACAAAGGCGAGGCTCTTAACCATGTGGGAGAACAGCTCATATGGGCAAAATTCCCGTACTTTGGCATGTCCTGGAACGAGAGCACTGGCGCAGACATCCAGCCAGGCCAAATTTGCCGGCAGTATTCCGACGCAACCTTGCTTGCATTGGCACGGAAATCTTATCTAAAGGGAAAAGATATCGAAGCCCAGTTGGTTGCGAAGCACGTGTTGAAGATGAATGAGGCTATGATTAAACTCATCATCCGAGCGCTCGAGAAAGAAATCGACCAGAGCGACGAGCAGCTTGCCACAGATGAAGCTGCTGCCTACGATCAAATCAAGCTGGACTTTCACATTCCCGCCGTCTCATTTATGCTCAAGTACAATGGGCGCGAAATCTACGACAAAGTTGTGACGAAGGGATTAGGGGATTGGTCAAGGGGTCAAATGCCAGACGAAGCAAGGGAATTCCAGAATGGAGCTGAGCGATGGTCGTTTTGGAGGAGACGTTTGGAGGAGTTGTCTCAAGGAGATTTCGATGACGAGGTAAAGGCCGCTGCACAGGCAAGCTTGGAGTACATGTCATCGGTCGTTTAGCATTACGAGACTTTATGAATGAAGAGACTGCAGCACAGGTTATGACACGTACCAAGCGAGGGATGTCAGTTCGTTCGCGGTGGAACATTGTAGCTTTGTTGGTCTCTGGTGAACCACAGCGAATTCTGAAATACATGTGGGCGCATTCGAAGACGTGCACGCTATGAGAATGCAGCCTCTTCGCCGTGTAATCGCTGGCAATTGAGCGCAGGGTCATTGGCCCACCCGCGGTTCCTCGCGAAGCGCAAGCCTCCCGCTACCAAGAACAGCACCCTCGGGAATTTTTGAAGAATGTATGGCACAGTCAAAGTCCCCGACTTCCGGCCATCGATTATCCCATCTCCCTTCATCACCTCCTTGCGGGTGACTTCCTTAAGCATGGTACGACTCAGCAGCGAGATGTCCACCCCGATAGCTACACCTCCCGCATCCGAGACAGGCGCACGCTCGCCAACCCGACCGGTCACCACCCCCGGCGGTGATGACAATACTATCACCAGCGTTCTGGGAACCATAGCTTTCATGTGCACCTTTTTTGTGCTCATTTTGAGCATTTACGTCACCCTATCCGGCACACCCGACGAGTCGCAGATATACTCGATCTGCTTATTGGAACTACCAGTTGAGCGCATACTCGCTCTTAATAGCCAGAGGAAGCACTAAGCATATACAGTTGTTCATGATAGTCCTTGTAGCTACCTCCGCCGCTTTCTCAAAACTCGCCTCTGCCACCCATCCAACGACCAATCGAGTATTCCTAGCTCTCCCTGTACCCCTCTTGGTTCACCTTGCCTCCTATGGCATCTACACTATTGTTCCCGATCCAGTCACACGCCTGCATGCGATATTCCTTGGGTTGCCTGTAAGCCTCGCCATATCAGACTGTCGCATGGTGTCCTAATGTCCGCAGTTTCTTCTATTCCTGATTTCAATGCTGATTTTCAGTGCTGTTTTCCCTTCTCCTACCCCTCGAATCGAGGCAAGTCCGCTGAATCTGATGGTATGAGGCACAGTGAGAGAGGCATCTGCGTTCAGCTCCACGTTTTGCGGATTCACGAAGCGGGTATTGCGGATCATGAGTGTTTATACGTCCCACAACCTCGACAGGTTGTACGAAGAGCCATCTTTGTACTCGTACGGGGAAGAAAAGGCACTGACAAGGAAGTGAGAAAACGCGTAGCTGTATTGTACGGCCGGTACACGTGGAGATTCTCGCTACCAAATGGCATTACCTTGAAATCTCTTCTCATACCAGTTTTAAAGATTCCGTCGCGTTCGATTCTCCTGTGTCTTCACAAATGACAACTACCAATTCTCACCCTATATCGAACTACGACGACATGACTCAGTCTAGATTCACCGGAAGCTGCGGCGCTCATCAACACGCCAGTACCAGCGGCTCATCACCTTTCCTCTCGCTACCTGCTGAGCTTCGGGTGGAGATTTATCGATCCATCCTCGTATCATCGGGGCCTGTCGTGCTACCTAGCGACGGCATCACCAGTTTTCGATCTTGCGATGGCAACCCTCGTGGTGTTGCCCTCTTACGCACTTGTACGCAAATCTACACCGAGACAACGAATGTCTTGTATGGCGAAAACCAGTTCCGAATCAGATCCGGGCGTATGGCTTGCGGCAGCCTACTTTGCCTCCCTCGATCCAGCTTCCGTCATCTCAAAGAGCTCACAATCCCGACACCTTTCCATGGATGTATTGGTCGCCCTCAGTTTGGGCGACAGCACTCATCGAACGTATCTAACTACGATCTGCAACCAGACTCCATCAATCCAGACCTCTGTCGGACGGATTTCCCATCTAATCACGCCATACGTCAGCTTCTCAATGCAATCGCCAACGCTCCGCAACTACATCAACTTAATCTGCTATTAGACAAACGCCGTGCGTACGAAAGCAGCTATGAAGTTTCACTGTACGCCTCACTTTCTGGGCGATACCACGCCTTCATCAACAACGAGGATGTTTGGGAAGATCTAGCAGGTCTATTGCGGGTTAAGAAGGCCTTACGGATCACAATCGTCCAGCACCACTATCCAGTCCCGCAATTCTTGTCCACAAAAGCAAAGCGATTCTTACGTGCTATGAGGTCTCGATTGGGGGTGTGGGATGTGCGTGGTATAGATGAGTATAAGACAGATTACTCGTGGAACGACTATAAGACTATACCTGCGGCGAGGGAGGAGGACAATCCCGATGAATGGCTACGGGCGGTTCGAACTCTCTTCGAAGACTAGCGGTGTCACTCATAGTATCCACGGCTCCTGTGGAAAGTGCACGTTGGTGGAAAGTACTAGGCTCTTACCACGTTTCGCTGTCATACCGGAGACGAACGAGTCAAACAAGACTGGCCCGTAAACAACAGTCTTATATACTATGCTCTTAATTAAACATCCACATTACAAGTCATTATCTATTCCAATTACACCAAAGTCGTGCTACACGAACAAAGGTCCGTACCCAGTTCCATCACCTCTTCCAATATCCGCCATCATCGGTTTCTCGTAAGCCACTCCATTGTTTGCTTCGCCCTCGGTAACTGGCAGCGGCATCTCCCTCCAGTGATCTTGAATCTTCCTTGCACTCTCCAAAAAGCGATCCTGAAGCGCCGTGTACCCAGGTATGGTAAGCTGCCAGTCTCGCTTCTTGAACTCTCCGTCAATCATAACATGCTTGATGTCGCCTACGTTCGCGTGCAACATAATGGCAGCGATCGGATCGGTCCAGCCAAGGACACTTGGAGCGCGCCCGTTCCATACCAGTAGGTCTGCTTTGGCTCCAGGTGCCAGGATACCAATGTCGGATCGTCGCAGTGCGAGCGCTCCGCTGCGAGTCGCAAGAAGGAAAGCCTGGTTGACAGACATGGGATTCTCGGCGGGAAGATGGCGTCGATCAACAACTTCGCGGTAGAAGATCTTCCTGACACTCTGGAGCCACAATCGCGCTTGTGTCAGTATATCCGACGAGAACGTGAAGTGTGTGTCGATGCCTAGAGCCGCTTGGTCCATGATGAGGTGGCTGTTTGGGTGCAGATGACCGTAGTGCATCTCAGACTCTGGGGTGGTGGATATGTAGTGATTGTACTGTCGCAGGAGTTGCGCGTCGGTCGCGCTGTGATAGCTGGCATGTGCGAAAACGATCGGGATGGATTGGTTGAGGAAGTCGAATTCGTGCAAGACCTCGGGAAAGTTTGGAGCGCCATAAACACCGCCGTTTGCGTGCGTTGAAACTACGGATACATTCTTCTCACTGGTAACAGTTAGTTATGTGCTCGTTCTCATGGGGTGGGTACTAACATTGCTAGATCAAGAATTGTGCGCGTTTGGTTCCTGTTGGTGCTAGCGAAACCATCGTATGAGATGCCTAGCTTTGTAGGCGAGCTGTCAAAGCGCGCATCGTTGACCAAGTCGCGGAAGAGGTCCATCTGCCCCTCGACGGTAAAGTTCGCATAGTCTTGGAAGTAGTAGGCAAATTCAGTCCGAACACCGCTCTCGAACGTCGCGTTCAGCGCCGCCATAGCGTGCGCTGCGGACCAGGTGCAATGAGGGTAGTCCAGAATGGTAGTGACACCGCCATTCAGGGCCTCGTACAACCCGACGAGCTGGCCAATGTACACATCCTCGGGCGTGAAAAATGTATTGGCGGGCGAGTCGGTTCCATAGCGTTCAAAGTATCGCATCAAGGTCGTGTTCGATCCCAGGGTCTTGAAGGCCGTTTGCCAACTATGACGATGAGTGTCTATGAAGCCTGGGGAGATGATGTCGTTGGTGGTATCGACGACCTCCAGGTCAGCCGGTAGAGTGCCATTATAGGATCCAGAGAAAACAGCGGTTATGGTGTCGTTCTCGACCAACACAGAACCGTTGCTGATAACATCGAGATGATTGGCAGAACTGTCCCAACCAATTACTGTCCCACCGGTAAACAGTGTTGCTGCCTTACCAAGCGAGACGCACGATGCGAACGCAAGGAGAGAAAGCCGGCCTGCACCACCAAAGATCATTCTGAAGGAGTTTGGTTAGACGTAACTTGGCTCTGCGGTTCCACCGCGACCAGCAACTTATACTCCATCGTCTACGCAATCTGATCTCCCGTCTGCTCGATCGTATCGTAGATGCCGACTCTTGGCCGACGCGTGTGAAAATTGTTCATCGAATTCATCGCTCTTCCACATTCCATGACGTTCAGCCAAGAACAGACCTTGGAAAAGCTTGGGAGAATCTTCACGATGGCCGCTTCGGCAGAGACGGAACACAATCGCTTAGGCCACCCGGAAGCAATGCCCGGTGGAGCTGGACCACAATGCAGTGTTTTCCGCACACGCCAGAGAGCGGTCAGCCTCTCTAGTGCAAAGGTCACATGCATCCAGCACTGGCCCTTCTCCTGAGTGCTTAAATACCGCTGTTCCCTCCTCTTTTATTCTGCATACTTACCTTCTTGCGATGACCCAGCTCAAAGATTGGGTTCATCTAACAGTCTCGTCTGCATTGCACAGCGCGGTATGGGACTGTTACGAGCTTCCTTCGGGGATCTCGGCGGGGCAATTTTTGCTGGTCTGCTTTCGAGCTTTTCATTGATCCCACTACCCTGGTGGTGGATTGAGGAAGAGTTTTCGTAGAATTGTGTGTGCGCGCGTGAAGATGCAGGGGTGAGGGCTGAAGCTATTCCCGGCGACAAAGGCTCGCCAAGGTTTCGCTGCGTCGAGCTGTAACGGAGTAAGGCCATAAATGTACGTCGTGACAGAAGACGCGAACGCACACAACTAGTGATCTATACCTAGGTAGTGACTTGGTCGCGCTCCGCGGGCTTTGTACCTGCCAACTGGGCGTTGCTTAGCTTGGCGCTGCCACATGGGGCGCCCATCGCTATCTCGAGATCATTGTGCGACCACCAAACCTTCGATGACTGTACGCGCACCTCTACGTCTGGCGGTATGGGCTGAAGGCCAATGAGCAAGCATGTACCATGATCTAGGAAAAGTTTTGCAGTTGGGGTCGTGGTTCTGTCTCGAATACTGCGACATGCGACCAACTGGAATGCGCCGAGCCTGCAGCGCCTGCACCACCCGAGGCCAATAACGACTTCACCTTCGCAAAGGACCGACCTACCCGAATACCAGTCGCCTGATCTCTTCTGTTCTCGCGATGTCATGTTGCCGCATTGCCGCATTGCCGCCTTTATCCAAGCTGCATCCTTCATAGGCGCGCGTATTCTTCGAGGAGTCAGATGACGTATGAAGGAGATCTCATACAGGCGTTCCGGTATCTCGGCACCTCCTTGTAAACGCACTACTAATGCTCAAGTTCTCTAAGTGCTTGAATTCACCAGAAGATCATTCCAATCACAACAAATCGCACATCCAACCATGAAAGACACCTTACCATCAAACCGCATAACGCTCAGAGTCCACAACAACATACCGTGGCGATACCTTTACATACCTGGTGTATATGCAATTCTTCTTGGAGGTCTCACGTTCTCTCACTCGTTTGATTACTGGACGATGGACCCTTATCCGGATAAGGCCATCGGTTGCTCGAACATTCTCGTCGGCGTTGTGGGTACGTTCCTAGTCTATATTGGTATCGGCGCTTGCATGGGCTGGTACTTCTTTAAGGATACACATTTTCGACGTGCGGCCGAAGTAGATCCAGCAACGATAGACGTTTCCGGAATGATTAGCGAGGAGAACTTCTGGAGAAACATCATACAACGCTACCCGTGGCGCTATGCGCAGAAGCTTGGTCTATCGCTAGTTATCCTCGCTCTTTTCATCATAGCTTACGGAGCGAATATGCATCGCAAGAACCCTGGATCAACAGACTGGACCACGGTCCTTCCGATTCGATCTGGTATCATGCTAGCCATTATCCTCAAACTGGCGGGCCTCGTTCTCTGCATGGGATGGCATGTATTCAAAGATATAGAGACAGGCGATACAGAAGATCAAGGTGAATTGGGACCTCATAGGACTTACAATGTCTCGACGTTGGGTTCCCCGAATGTCACAACCTTCGCCAACCCCTTCGCTCATCCATACTTGAGTGCTGTTCCTCCTGCAATATGTACTGGTTGTACATCGTATGGTGCTTTCGATGCCTCGGGCGTACTTACTCCTGGCGGGCCCATGGCTGTACGCCCTTTCGTATCATTGGCAATCGCTACTTGCCTGAACATTCTTTTAGTTGTCGTCGAATTCATGGGCAATTACAAAAACCGTGTGTCTGCCATGCAGGAAAGAATGGCTGAGATCGATATGCGCTTAGGAACGGATTGCGACAGGTCTGGAAAGATGGAAGAAAGGACCCAGTACTCGCGCACGACCTGACTTGTATCGCTATGGAGGCAAAGGGGGCCATGCTGGACTCCGCGAATGACCATGGATCGTCTACGCACTACTTAAAGGGTCATGAAGAGGCAGACTGCTTCTACACTGTTCATGGCGAAGACATTCGATGTGGGCATATCATGGGAAGTACACAGAGTAGGAAATGCAAGTCATGATCAAACCACAGTTTCACTTCGTGGAAACAGGATAGTCTCCATACTCAAGTATTGAGGTCAGATCGGGCTGGAATAGACGCAGTAGTAGTAGTAGCTCGTGATCACCTGGGGCGAGACAGATTGAGCAATCATTTGGTAACGGCCAGCTAAGCGCTGCTAGACAAATGCGGCGAGCACTCAAGTCTTCGGCGCGACCTACCTAGAGATGGTTGTATAGTACGACTCCAGATTTGCGAAAGCAGACACGTCGCAAACGTACCTAGGTACGCTTGGATGCTTGCAGAAGCCTCGGCCGAGCTCCAGCTCAGCACGCTAGCTGTCATCGCGCGCAATAGCCCGCACCCACCGAGAGCGTACATCGCGTTCGTTTTGGCCTACCTACGCACGAAACTTAAAGGATGATCTTCATGGCTGGAGTTTTTGGCTGGAGTCTCGTTGCCAATGTTTTAGACTTTGTCACGATGTGCGACGTGAGGGGCAGTACCCGATGTCGACACCGAATGGCAATCACCCCGCACGCCCGCACGTCCGGTGCCGCAGATCATGTACCGGTATATAGATGTACCAAAAGTACATGCCGACAGCACCTACTGTGTTACCGGATACGCGAAGCACTTCTTCTGTAAACCCGTACCACTATAATATCTCACCATGCCGCTGCCCACTGAAGTCGTCCAAAACCTGAAGCAGACCGTTGATGCAGCCTGCGCGGATCCGAAGACATCTGTCCCAGGAACTAGCGTCGTTGTTGTAGGGAAAGATGGCGAAGAACTCTTTGCGCACGCCGCTGGTCAACGTGGTGTTGCAAGCAACGAGAACATGACTCTCGACAACGTGTTTTGGATCGCATCCTGCACTAAGATGATCGCAGGGCTGGCCTGCATGCAGCTTGTTGAGCAAGGACAACTACACTTGGATGATGGAGACGAGATAGAGAGATTGGTTCCGGAGCTGAAAGAGACGAAAGTATTGCAAAAGGATGGTAGCCTGGTGGACAAGAAAAGGAAGATAACACTGAGAATGCTCTTGACGCATACCGGTACGAGGCCGTCCTCGCAAAGTTGAATCCTCTCACTAATCATGACCCACAGCTGGCTTTGGCTACACCTTCTTCAACGAATCTCTGTGTGCCGTATTGGACGGGTTTGATGAGTTCTCCGGAGACGTCAAGGACATACTTCAGCCGCTGACTTTTCAACCGGGCGAGGGCTGGCAGTACGGCGTAAACATCGACTTCGCTGGCCTGGCTCTCGAACGCAAGACTGGCATGTCGCTAAACGACTACTGCCTGAAGAACATCTACGAACCGCTAGGGTTGAAGAACATAACCATGTTCCCCAACGAGGATATGAAGAAGCGGCTGGCGTCCATGCATCAACGAAACCAAGATGGCAGCTTGGTCGAGCGAGACCATCTACTCCTCAAGCCCTTGAAAGCTTCGAGCAACGAGATTGGCGGCATCCTGAACAGCGGAGGCGCAGGTGCTTTCGCAACACCATCCGACTATGCGCGTAAGTTGCCCATAAAGCAATATGTATACGACACCACTGACAGAGTTTAAGAAATCATCGCAACGCTCCTCAACGACGGCAAGTCGGCCAAGACCGGCGTCCAACTCCTCAAGAAAGAGACGGTAGACCTCATGTTCACGAATCAGATATCACAGTTCCCCGACTTTGGTCGTCAGGGAATCCCAGCGGCCAAGCCTGACCTCACAAACGCTATTCCAGACATATACCCAGTGGAGGGTAAGCCTCCTCAAGGCTGGGGTCTGACGTTCATGCTGTCCAACGGAGGCCCGACTGGTCGGTCCAAGAGTACTGGGTTCTGGGCTGGGCTCCCGAACTGCTGGTGGTGGTGTGACAGAGAGAAGGGAGTCGGCGGGATCGTTTGCAGTCAGATCCTGCCGTTTGGCGATCCCAAAGTGCTTGGATTGTGGTTCGACGTTGAGACGCAGATCTACAAAGCCTTGGGGGCTTGATCGTATGTCATGTTGGGTGTCTCTGCTTATGCAGTCGGTCCGTTTTGTTTTGTCGGATTCGGCCGGATGGACGTGATCGTCATTGTCTTCATATCGAAACTCGCGTCAAATTGCACCCTGAGGACCGGCCGATCTTCTTGCTCTCTTTGTGTACTCTTTGAGAAACGTCAAAACCGCAACGTTGGGTCGAGAAACCTTGAGTTATGCTATGAGTGTAGTGCACATCACACCCCCACATCTTTTTAGCGTCATGTGTGGCATACAGGGTTGCATATGGGCGAGAGATAAGCCATGAACGGATACGGCGCACGAACATGTAAAGAACCTGTCGTTTGAGCTGCGATTCGAGCAGTCTTTCGTGCTGGCAAAGACGTTGAAAGCCGTCCGTGGCTGCCTGTGTGGGCCGATCCGATGCTCGTTCTCCGTAAGTAGCCTGCTTCGAAAGTTTCGGAACAGTCCGATCGCCAGTCGAGGGACCAATTATAACATGGATGGCTGCAAGCTCAGAGAATAGTGCCTAGGTCAGACCGAGCGTCCGGTACAAGCTGTCCCGTGAGCTGTCTGGATGCCGTTACAATGGAAGAGGCAGTGCTTCCTTTGGGGAGAAACAGGCAACTCAAGACAAGGAACATACGATGGAATAGCTTCGATCGACAGAAACGGCCGTGCAGCATCCATAATCGTCAGTGATGAGCCGGACTGAAGCTTGCGTTGAGCATCGTTGTGCCCTGCCACGCGTTAGCTTTCCCCGCATTTCTGTGTTGGGATGTGGGTCCTAGCCGGCGACGCGGGGTGTGCATATCAGCAACGCACTTGCCTCTTTGCATAAGCAGACCTCTCGTGCTTTTCCCTCTTTTCGACTGACAATCCGAGCAGCAGCCATGAACTTCGTGGACGTGCAACCAAAGTCGTTCCTCGATTATGCCTGGACGTCGCCATCTTCGGGGGCGATGGCAGCCACCAAACCGTCCAAAACGAGTCGGAAACAGAACAGATGCTGCGACCAATGTCGAAAAGGGAAAAGAGCGTGCGACGCCGCAATTCTAGAAGACACTCTTTTAGAAACGAGCAAATCTGGAGCAACCCCTACGGTGTTCCATTATAGTGGTAAGACATGCCTTCGTCGCTGGTACCTAACGCGCAAGCTAACCTGTCAGACGTTTATGGGCCGCTAGCTTCGTGCGGTAATTGTGAGAAGACAAAAAAGAGCTGCACATTCGAATGGCTGCGCTCACAACGCGTATCGCAAGCTTCGCAACCAGCGTCGACAACTTCACCGCCAGCGAAAAGGCGCCGCACAAGAAGCAATTCGACCAGCCGAGCACAGAAGCCAAACCTATCGTGCCAATCCAGCGCAACCGTGAAACTAAAAGAAGACCGGCATCCGCACGGCGATGACCTTCTGTCCCATACCACGCCCGTGGAACTGGGCGTGACGTTTGCAGATTTTCCGTGTGGCTCATCCATGTTCACCACCGATCCTACAATCGCATTCTTTGAAGAACCATCGCAAGTATTCGAGAAAGAAGGAACCGGAGATGAACCAGAACTCGCTGGAGGGCTTGCCGAAGAAAGCTGGACTATACTCGGTTGCGACTCTGGCAGAGGCTCGTCTCTGAAGACAACATCGGAGATCAGCGATGATAAGCTCGAACGCGACAGCCCCTCTGAGAGTCAGGACACCAGCAGCATAAGTCCAAGTATTCCGCCTTCTACCATATCGGATGGAACGATCGCTCGTACTAGTCTCAAACGGCGACGCTCTAGCTCCTCAGCATCAATCTCAAACGGTGCGCAACCTTACCCAGTGATATCATATGCCAGCGATCTTCTTTCATCAAGCAACAATGCGTATCTGACTGAAAGCCTGCTGAGGATCTATCATGATAGTTTCGAAAACGCACTTGCATGCTGGGTCACAGAAAGAACCTGTCCCTACAGTGCAAAATCGGATAACCTGCTAGCCACAAACGCTAAGCCTGATTGGAATCGAATCTATCACAGAGTGGTGCGCCTCGATAGGCTAGCTTCAGCCATCAGAGGGCGCAAGCTTACTCAAACGGAAGACCGCGCAGCATCTAGAGCTCTAGACTTGGCGGTCTTTTCCTTCGCTTCACAATGGGCACAGTCCAGTCCCAGAAGCAGAACGAAGTACCCGTTCCACAGCACCTCGACCGATGGTGGCAGTAGCGTTTTTGATAGTATCGAGGACGAATGCGCACCGGCTGGCGTGAACTTTGATCGTACCCTGCAGATATCAGCGTGGCATGAGGCCCGCAATGCACTGCAAAAAGCCGGTGAAGTGGAGTCCTTCCGGGTGGTACTTGCACAGATCATTTTCGCCCTGACACAACGGCCTGTGGAGGCAGACGGGGCTCAGGATGAGCAGAACGCTCTTTCGAAGACCGAACTACTGGCGACCGACGCCTGCACGGAAGTCCCGATGGAACAGACCCCTATGCTTTCGACCGATCAGGACGTCGATGAGTGTGCAGATCTGATGTCGAAGTTGGATCTCGCTATTGAGTCCGACGGACCTCCTGTACATCTTGAATCAGGCCTTCGACTCATTCACTCCTTGAGGTCGCGCATGACCATGTCGAGAGAAGCGCGATACAGCAACCCCGGACCAGGGCGCTCTGCACGGCAACGACGCTCGCCCGTTGTGCGTCTTGAAGACGCCGATCGTGCGACAGTGGACCTTCTGTTCTGGGTCGGTGTCATGTTCGACACGCTATCAGCAGCCATGCACAAACGACCACTGGTGGTATCGGATGAAGATAGCGATGTAGTCATGAGCGAAAGCATGCAGATTGAGCACTCGGCCCAACAAGCGGCAACACCTTCCTCAACAGACGATGGACTGTGGGACGACTACTTGTTTTCTCGGCAACAGCAGAATCCAGAACATGCGCCCACAAGATGGCCATGCTCATTCGATGAAGCCGCAGCTGCGTTGTGTGACGCAGCCCCGGTCAAGGTGTTGCTGTTCAGAAGAGTCTGTCGGATCCAGACGCTTCTCACAAGAAATGCACGAGGCGCGAAGGTCGAAGAGGCTGTCAGTGCCGCAATGGACGTGTGTAACCACTGGGATGCGCTGTATGCGCCCTTCGTCCGAGACTGCATACAGAACCACGACCGCCTTCCACCGCGCGTCCAATCATGGTACGTATGCGTCACCGGACACTGGCACCTTGCGACTCTCCTTCTTGCGGACTTGATGGAAGTGGTAGACGAATCAGAGCTTGGACTTGAGGAAGCGACACATCAACGGAATATTAGTGCCTTCATCGCGAAATTTCGCGAGAACCAATGCCGGGTCCTGTCAGACCTAGCGAGCTGTGCATGCCCGCGAGAAGACGCATCATTCGCACAGTCCGAGTTCCATTTCGCAGTCAACGAAGGCGCACTGCTGACGGAGCCATGGACTGTAGTGTTGATTCGCGCGTTCGCCAAGGCAGGCGTACTGTTGCTTGAGTCAGATACTCTGCTGCCGTCAGACCTGGATCGAGAGGATGCTTTTCAGCGCGCTGATGCTTGTATTAAGGCGTTATGGTTTTTGGGTAGAAAATCGGATATGGCCCTTTCGGCGGCGAATATCTTGGGAGAGGCGTTGAAGCTGCGACGCAAAAGTGCGCAAGATCGGGTTAGCGATATGAGCGTCTTTTTGGAGAGTGAGCTGTGGCATGATTTGGAAGGGGCGTTCGAGGTGGACTGTGAACTATAAGCCAGCCACAATGTACTATTTCTGTGACCATGATGCGCAATTTGACAAGATGAAGTGAAAGAGTGAGTACTGAGATGGATTGAGCTTTGGAGGATGCGCGAATGGCGCTTAGACTGAAAAGGCAAATCACGTGTTCTCGCGTCGAGCAATGGAACTTTGGAAGGAGCGATAAGGAGATTGGACGACGGTCGACCGCGCCACATTCCATTGGTACGACTGCTGCTGCCATCTGGACCAGCGTGCGATGTCCAACTGAGACTCGCTACATAGCAGATGTGCCCACCGTCTACCTAGCATCAGCTGCCCCAGCCCGCCATAAAATCCTCGCCAATCGCGCTAAGACGCGTCCACGGATGCAACGGTCTGCTAGCCGACCTCCCATCTTCCCCACACCCACGTCATGGGCCTTCCAGCGTACGCCTCCAGACCAATTGGGATTTGAGCTCCTACTGATACCAGAACAGGTTATGGGACACGATTAAGAAGCACGAAGAAAGCGTACCCGTCGCGCAGCTCGCCGAAGAGCATCACCGGCGTCATGGCAGATCACTCCGCATTGCTGTCGACGAGGCCGATTGGCGCTTCAACAACCTCACGGTGCAGCAAGTTTACACTATACGGGAGAGTAAGTAGTACACGTGTCGTGTCTGCTCTTGCTGACAGGACCAGCCTCCAGCGAGTACGCCTACCAAGGCATCGAGAAAGCCATGTTCTACCGTATCTGCCGCCTCCTCACCCTAAACATTCAGCTCATATTCGTGTTCGATGGTCCCGGTCGACCTTGGAAGCGGGGAAAGCGAGGTGGGCAACGGATAAACTACGAAGAGCAGCGCTTGCTCAAGGAGATGCTTCAATACTTTGGGATCCCATACCACGAGGCCCCGGGGGAAGCAGAGGCAGAATGCGCCCGTCTGCAGATTCTGGGCATGGTTGACGCTGTTTGGTCGCAAGATTCTGACTGTATCATGTTTGGCTGCACCCTCTGGCTACGCGATCACCGTGTCGCGAAAGAAAAGGGCACGACAGACAGGTCCAAGGAGAACACCAAGAAGAATGGGAAATACGCCAGCGTTGTACGAGCACACGATCTGAAAGAGAAATATGGCCTAGACCGAGAAGGACTTGTGCTCTTTGCCATGCTTGTAGGTGGGGACTACGACGTGAAAGGTCTACCACAGTGTGGGCCGGCTCTAGCCTTGCAGGCAGTCAAGCAAGGACTCGGTCGGCGGCTTTGTGCCTGTCGAGATCAGATGGAGTGCGGCATGTGGACTGTGGAGCTGGCCATGTTCCTGGAGCGGAGTGCTCGCGGGCGCGCTATCGAAATCCCGCCAGCCTTCCCAGACTTCAAGACCTTACAGAAGTACTACAAACCGAAAGTCACCAGCGACACAGATTTACTTAGCAAGTCGCGCCTCAACCTTGACTATCTTCGCCCGATCCAGGAGCTGAAGTTGCTTACACTTACCAGCGAGCGCTTCAACATATGGGGACGTTTATACATGAACTGGGTTGGGCCTGTGCTGCTGACACGAAGCCTGATAGCAAGAGATCCATCTCTATCGCAAGAACTGGTCCACGGCATCAGGCTCACAAAGCAAAAAGCGAAGAAGACCGACAACGAACTGACCATGCGCACTTTCGAACGTAAGCTTACTTTTTCACCCTTTGGCGTCACTACCCTGAGCAGAGCCGACTTCGAAGGTGAGCGCTTAGGGTGCTGGAATGGAGACAAGCAGACCTTGTTTGACCCAGAGCATCGTGTCGAATGCGAATATCCCGAGTACTGGCTGCGTAAAGTTCTTCCGCCGGACGTACTGGAACCGCCCCCTGCACCACCAAAGCGTACGCCAAAACGCAAGCGACCAATAGCTGAAGTTGGGGAAGACGCCGAAGCCTCAGGCACAGCTAAGCGGAAACGTACGAACAAAAGAGACGATATATCCGCTACCCGGGCTACATACAGTGCATCCCCCAGGAAATCCAGAGGACCAGCTGCAAAGGCCAAGTCTCAAGATACGCAAATGACGCCCACAGCACAAAAGATCTTCGATTATATTGCACTCTCGGACTCTGAAGATGAGGGTGGGCTTTCTCTACCAGCCAACGCTCGCTCTCAAGAACCTGCATTGAATCAGCCGACGACATCTCATATCATCGATCTTGGTTCGCCTGAGCCGTCAGATCAGGAGAACGATTCACCCGTTTCGGATCCTTTCCGAAACCCTGTAGCAAACACATTGCCATTCGATATCCCAGATGAAGAAGACGAAGAGCTGCAGTTAGCTTTGCGGCTAAGCATGCAAGATCAAGGCGCCAAGATACCCCCAATACAAAGGCCTTCCACTTTACCGTCTTCAAATCGTGGCAGATACGAAAGCATCTTCGCAATGAGAGAAGCCGGCAGAGATGTACACGGGGCCTCTGTACCTGCTTGGTCGCTTGATGAAGCACTGAGCGCGGCCGTGCCCTCCAGAGCTTCTCAAAATCCCCGACGAGTGGAGAATGAATCGCGCATATCAAGCATGCCAATGAGGGGTGTTCACGCAGGTCTTATAGGAAGGGAACCAGTCGACCTACCTGACTGGTCGCGCCCTCCCCCGCGCGCTAATCTATTACCAGTGTCTGCAACGCTACCTTCGAATCCAAATACAGAAGATCAAGTTACACCATCTCCTGCACCTACCGCAGCTGAGATACGCGCTGCTCGGCTTCGACACTTCGCAACGACACCTCCCGACCCTGCCAAGGACGCAAACGAGCCACGTACTTCTTCGTTTGCTGTCATGCCAAACAAACAACCAATAAGTACTTATAAGGTACCAGTGGGGGTTGAGTGTATTGATCTGACGGATGACTGAGCAGCAGATTTGTCTCCACTCATCATTCACATGTTATATACCAAGTACACCCACTGTTACCACTGTTATACGAGCTATACACGAATAAGTGAAAGCTGTGTCGGTTGAATGCTTACATACATAGCATCACACATCGCCTGGGCTAAACAGCTCGAAGGTGAATGGCTGTGGCTACTGGACTCCTTCTGCGATCATTCAATGCAACCAGGAATTCTCCTGTTCGTTGGTGGCAACGCAGAGCCATGGAGGATAAATGGGCTACCCAGTAGTCTAAATGCGTTTATACAACTATAGACCTCAACCGAACATGGACTCATCATCTGCCACATACCAAGACGTTGTTGACCGCGTACTCGCCGTCTCTACACCCACGGAAGCACCACGGGATGAGCCGACGTGCTTTGTCTGTGGTCGAGAATATGGAAGCATCGGTGCAGGCGTCGAGACACACCTGGACTTCCTCAGCCAACTACCGGGAGCATACAGGAAGACCTTCCTCGAACAAACTGTCGAACCAATCCGGACACCATGTGGACATGTCTTCTGCCTTTCTTGTCTGAGTGTGTGGTTCAAAAGAAAGCGAAGATGTCTTTGCCCCATGTGTCGCGAGCCGATTGAGATTCCCTTCCTCTATGAACTAGAAAACACAGACGACGGTCGACGCGATGTCGGCATCCAGGGCCTCTCCCTATCCCTGCATATACCAACATCTCTGGCAAAGGAGACGTACCGCATCATTAACTTGCAGACTCGAGAACTGCTCACCACTACCGCTCCGATGCCGTTCCAGTGGAATGCAGAAGCCATGATCCACGATTTGCCCATTATGATGATCAACGTGGCTCGTCGCTTCCATTACCAATCGTTGAGAAAAGCGGAAGGGGTGCCTAAAGATCCTACTTATATGAAGCGACATAATCCAATACAACTCGTAGCGACTGAACCTCGGTTCAACGATCTCAAGTCTCTCGGGCGCCCTGACGCACCACTCGCCAAGCACGCAGATGCTTTTGAGATGTACCGGCTCGTATGCGACCGTATCAGGGATCTGGAGGGCACAGTAGGTGACGGCTGCGGTCGATGCGCAAACTGGGAGGCTCTAGCGCGGGCATTGATGTACAAGATCGTTCGAGAGAAGATGCCTCAGACCAACGGAGGTGTCAGTCGGATACGTTGGCGGCACTATGTGTGGTGCGTGATCAAAGCGGTGTTTGTCTGGCAAGCGTACTGCGAGCGCGCACGTATGTTGATGTGCCTGCGTACACAGCAAGTAAACGTTGATACTACAAGGACAGAGGAAGGTGTCCGAATGTATCAGGTGGGCTGAGAGGAGTTTGGTAGTATAAAGCTATGACTTAGACATAACATGTAACATTTCTCGACACTCGTTCAAATTTGGTCACTCAACGTGCCATGTATGATGTGCGTGATTTTATTTCTGCTGTGTGAATCTTGTGAATGGAAGTTTGAGCCCCGGCCGTCCATTTACGGATTGGTCACACCTTGACCAAAGATACAGCACAAGTCTTAATACTACGCGAATAGGCTTTCTGTCCACGCTCGTTCCATTTCCACCTTTCTCGCGCAGTGAATCCCAGTAAGCCCATCCGTAGTGTTGGGTATGCGCAGGGAAGTACCACTTCATGTGGCCTTCATCGGCGATTGTAGTATTTTGTGAAGCCGAAGCCAGCATGCCTGTCGGAGCGTCCTTCAGACGTCGGCATTGCAGCTCGAGCCAGAACACCGTTACGATCTGCCTACTGCCTGTGTCTCTTTTCGCAAAGCTGACAGCTGTGACTTGCTGCCATTTCAGCGCCAATCTTTAAGTATGCAGTCTCCCTTCATCGCGGCAACCCATTCCCAGCAGCACCACTCGCACCACTACCCCCACTCCCAGAACTCTCGCCGCCCCCATTCCCCGTCCTAACCCCCATCCTCGCACCGGGCTGCCTGGCCAAAGCCAACCTCAACGGCTCCTCTCTTCCCTGCCCAACAATCCCACCACCGCTCGCAACCGCCGTTCCGCTGCCACTCCCGCTTCCGCCGACCATAGGGCCTCTCCTCAGTAGTTCATCAAGACCTAGATCCCGCCATGTCGGCTCCTTCCTTGTCTGTGTCGCTCGCTGGATGCCGAATGCGGCGTGTTGGTCTGGGACGACGTCGTCTTCGTCTTCGGGGTTTACGGGTTGGAGGTGCGGCGGGATGTAGATGTCTTCCGGGGTGAGTTGGGAGGAGGTGAGATTGGTGAATTGCTCGAGCAGGTCGGCGTGGTGCGACGAGTGCATGTGGAGGTAGGTTGCTGTTGAGTCGCGCGTCTGTGGGGGTTAGTATGGGGTTAGTTTCCAAGGCGAGAGGATCTTCAATTACCATTCTGAAGTTGCGCTTCGGGTTTACAGGTTCGGGCAAGGGTTGTGTAGTATATTTTTCGCTCTGTGGTTGTACCGTCGTGTTGTGCTGGTCAATGTTTGTAGACGCGGAATCGCGCCGCGTTAGGACTGAATGGCGCACTAGCCTAATTTGGATGCCTTTGAGGATTACGCATATTATGCCTTAACCTCACTCCACCTCAGTGATCTTCTCTACAACATTATCCGTGAAATATATCTCCTCAGCTGCTGTACTGTGTGTGTTCTAGGGGCGAGAGGATGATTGATGCCTACACACTCGACTACACACGAAGCCCCTGTGCGCCGGATCAGTAACAGCACTATCAGATTGCCGATCGGTTCATCGAGTCGATAGAGGCCATTTACTCCGTCTTGTCATGGAATAAAGAAGGTTTCCTCAACTGTCCGCGTCAGGGATGGTACCAAGCTTCCAATGAGTACCCGGTACCTACGTGGAGAGGTAGTCACGGATCATTCGCTTTTGGAAGCATACCTACCTCAACCAAGATGTCATCTTCGCGTCCCGAATTTTGGATGCAACGACTCAATGAAGCAATAACACAATCCTGGACGGCTATAGTGATTCACGATGCGCGTTACTAGCAGCGACTCGCCCTGTTTAGTTTGCCGAGGCCTACTCCGCAACTCCACGCTATGGATAACACGTCATAAGACCCGAACAGTCTCTGTCTCTAATCCACTAACTAGCACCTCCTTTCTGCGAGATCTTTGTTCCCATCTTCTCGTCAAAGTTTGCCTATTTCGAATCCTCTGAGCATTGCAGGATATAAGACTTCCAGTACACTATTCACCGAGAAAGCACCGTTCCGCATTCAATCACGATGGCCGAGGGACGCTGCAACTGCGGAAGCATCAAAGTTTCCATGCCTTCCATGCCTGAGCAGTCCGCTATCTGCTACTGGTATGCATAATCACTACAATCTACACCGGCATCTTCATACTGACCGTAGAAGCGCCAACTGCCGCCGCGCAGGAGGAAGCATCGGATCAATCGTATACATCCTCGACAGTCCCCAAGTCACAATCAACGATCCGAACAAGTATCTCAAAGACTACCGGGACAACGACACGAAGAGCGGGAACCCTATTACTCGCCAATTCTGCAGCAACTGCGGGTGGTGAGTTGATGGCCCATGTAGCATTGGGGAGAAGTCTAGCTAACTAGATAAAGCCCAATCACGTCTGTACTGGCTGGCGATAAGATTGCGTTGAAGGGTGGACTGTTTGATAAGATTCCCGCTCCGGGGTTCAAGTCTTTTGAGCAGGAGGAACCGAGCTGGATGAAAACTGTCTAGAGCTGGCAGAGAAAGACACGATTGGGAGCTACACATCAACAGCTGATGCTATACGAGCAGAGATAACTTGATACTTGGTCCCGAGAAACGTGCCATGCTAGACTTCAAGGCCTTCGGCATATACTCAAAACCTGCCTTTCGACTTCAGTTCGTAGCCCATCCAGTGCATCTTCTCTCGATAAGGTTCTTTTGCCTTTGATCTTGTTGTGGCCATCAATGTAATACATCGAGAACCCAGGCCGGTCGACATGCTGCCCTATCACCAGGTACACGGTCTGTGGGTCGAACGTCGGGTACTGGTGAGCGCCGACGATGAAACATAGGTTCGCTGCTGAAGCTCAACAACCGGCCCATACCTTGTGGTAAGAGCAACAAATGAGGGATAGGGGAGTTAGCGGAGCGACTTACTAATTAGCTGTTTCTTTTCTAGAGCCGACATGTCTGTTTCGATTTTCATGAGTTCAGTAAGGCGAGCACGGAGCTCTTCATTTGCTGTAGGGTTGGTCATAATCTCGCTCATCGTCATTCGGTACAGTGAACTGGTTTACGGAGAGTGGCGGCTTGGCTGCGTTCTTATATCGAACCCGGTTTGCTACTTGACTTAGGTGATGCTAGCAATCTTCCATGCTTGTCGCACGTCAAAATATGTCAGATATTGTGTCCAGGAACGAGGACTACGTCTTGTTTCTCATGCAAGAACTTGATTGCTACGTATATTAAAAGGCGCTTGCTGAAGCTAAAGATTGCTCTGTACTCGGTGGCAGTCCGACTCATTACTCGGTATGACAGATCCTCCATGGCATCGTTTCTGGCGTTGGGTTGGCCGGCCCAAGCCAGGACCACGCTGTTGGAGCGCGACCCGCATGATGCAAGTATCGCATTAGCTGAGAAGTGGGTATCAAAACACCATGAATGCCATACGACAAAGTCATGGTTTGTCGGCTGAGGATCTCGTTTAGGTAGAGTAGGAAGGCGCGATGTTCTCACGCCTCACGTGCGCCAGTCAACCGACTCTCCCGGCGCTGAAGCTAGTCCTCCCCACATCAAACCACTCTGCCGGATCATCTATCTCATCAAACGACGGTAACAGCCCCAAACCTCACTGGCCTCATGCATTCCCAAGACAATCTAGATGCAGGCGCAACGCAACCGCCAAGCAGCCAGCACGTTTCAGCAACAGGGGTTTCGGAGATCATTACTCGTGATTACTCGTGAAACGTGGCTTCCCATCTCGCGCAATTAATTCTTCCGACGTCGAAGATGTGAATGTCTGGCTTCTTTGATCTTTCTTTTCTTTTGGCATCAATTCGGACATAAAGATAAGAGAGTGAAGAGCTTGGAAGATGGTCACAGCAACATGGCCGCGGCGACGGCATTTGCCTAGTTACTTCGCCGTCTCCACAGCACTTCTATGCGCATCGACTGCCAGAGCGGAACTTTTCTACACTGCACGCAGTCCCGTTGTTCAAGATGGCCTTATCAACAAGCCTGCAACAGTTTGCCCCGTGGCTCAAGATGGCTACACCTCCGATACCTTCCCATGGACGCATCACCCTACATGCGTAGATGTCGTGCTACCGGGTGAAGCGAACGAGAACACAGGATCAGGTGCTCATCAAACATTCTGCGCGTACACCAATGCCAACTACAACAACGGTCGCGGAATCAGCTTTGTTGTGAGCCCCGAGGTCGCGGCTAGCGTGACGATGGAAACGTTTGGCATGAGCATTGGGGGCATGGAAGGCCAGGTGGGGGAAGAGATGGGTATGTGGGAGGTAAAATACGCGGGAGAGAAAGGCAAAGGGTTGTTTGCAAAGAAAGATATCGCCGGGATCTTTCCAGGCGAGAGCTTGATTGTGCAGACTCCTGTGCTCTTCATCGCTAAACAAATACTGGAAATTCCGGAGATGCCGAGGCCACAGCTCGTGTTGAAGCAAGCAGTCGATCAGTTGCCGACAAAAACTAGAGAGATGGTCAAGAAATTGGACGTCAATGTGGATGGCACTGTCGAGGACATTGTCACGACGAACGGCATTGCTGTGAAATGGCCATGGGTTGACGAGCTGCCCCAGCTTTTGGCAGTTATTCCCGAGGCTGCGGTAAGTCATGACCGATAGACTTTCCTTTCAATATATGCTAATCTCAACATAGCGCATCAATCATGCTTGTCGACCTAACACTCTATGGCGTTTCGACGACTACACCCTCTCATTTGAAGTCTTCGCTCTTAAGGACATCAAGCCTGGGGAAGAGATTACGAGAAGCTGTAAGTAACCGTCCGCCGAAGAATTCAACGGAAGGACGTCTCTAATCACTACATAGATGGCTTTGAAAAACGTGCTCGCCGGCGTCGCGTGAAGTCTATAGAAGCAAACTTCGGTTTCACCTGCGCCTGCCCTCTATGCACCGCAGACGACGACGCAACAATGGCATCCAACGACCGCCTCTCAGAGATCAAAGCGCTGAAATCCGTTCTACCCACCGACCCAGAAGATTCACCACAGCTCCTCGGCCTTCTCCCCAAACTCATCGAGCATCTGGAAGAGGAAGGTCTCCTAACCGAACTACCCCAGTACGAAGAGATCTTAGCGTACACGTGGAGTAGTTTCGGGATCGAGGATCGGGCGAAGCACTGGGCAGGGAGGGCGCAGAAGCATTGGGCTGTTGTAGCAGGTAAAGAAAGCTGGGAGCAGAGGAGGTGTGGGGAGTTGGAGGCGAATGTTAGGGGTCATCAGACTTGGATGACGTGGAAGGGTGATCCTTGGGAGGGTGTTGGTGAGGGGCATCCGTGGGATGAAAAGGAAGGAGATGGGCATGAGCATGATCATGAGCATGGACACGAACATTGAGTGTTGTTGCTGTTGTTCAGTAGAAAGAAGACGAAGTTGTTTCGAAGAGACAGCTGTCACATCTGTAGTCTGTCTTGGGCTGTTATATGTACCATTTAGTATCTCTGAAGCATTCGTTGATGGTATCATACAAGAACAGTATCCCTTGTATACATCTCTAAGCTGATACGATCTTACTCAAAGAACTTATCCTCGCCATGCACACGATCTAGTTTCCAAACAAGCGTCTCAATTCCCGTCTCGCCCCAACTACCCTCGTCGGCAGCCTTGCTCACACCATCACTTAGCGCCTTCGCAACATTTCCATCCGATGGCCCCGCGAACTCATGCATAGCTATCCAGGTCGACGGCTCGGGATGGGGTTCATCTGTCGTCGGCAAGCCCTTGAAAACACGAGACTGCGCATTCGTCCTCGCGTAGAGGAGTTTGAAGCGCAGTGTTCGCATATACTGCGGGGACGTTTCGAGCGTCGAGATTTGCTAGGATATTAACGTCAGTATCGAGTCTACATAAAATACTGACTGGGGTGGTACGGGGGTTACATACCTTTTGGAAGAACGCAGTGACCTGTTCTTCTGCTATCTGCTTCTCCGGTCGAATACCTGACGTGATCACATACTTCGGCCCACCTGCCTCCCATTCTCTTCTGTCCAGTGTCTTACCCACAATACCCAGGTAACTAACATCCATATCCGCCAAATCATAAATCACACCACTACCGGGTAGCGCACTACTCTTGAAGCCTATCCTTTTGAACTCATCACCCAGCGTGAATGCCAGGTCTTCCATGGGATAACAAGCCAGAAACGGCTTCGGGTTCTGCTCATTGCCGATCGAAGAGGACTTGTGAATATCGAGGAAGCGGAAAGCAGAGTCGACGCCGGATGTAGAGACTACTTCGGGGATGTGCTCGTTGTCGTACCAGGCGAGAAAAGTGGGCTCGGATAGTATGTCTTTGGCGGAAGGGGAGATGCGGGAGCGAACGAAGAGGATGCCGGGGCCTTGGATTGCGGAAGTAGACATGGTATTGTGTCTTTGAGGTGTCGAAGCTGAGAATTTGAGCTGTAGGATGCTGGGTAGAGACGAGTGGAGAGGCGATTTGATGCGTCAAGGTATGATGGCCGTCGATGTGGGGAGGTATATTGTACAACGTCATGCCAGTACAGAACGCAACGCAAGTAGTAAAACTTGAGTACCGGAAATACATTGCCGAAGTGTGGCTAACCGATACCCCGCCTGCATTTACTCGATAAAATTTGTATCTCTTCGCAATTCGGGGTGACGACGACGCGTCTTAGTATTTGTCATGCTGCCACCACCGTAAATGTACAAAGTCTGACAAGCCGTCTCTCACACGCGCTTTGCCTAGTACAGGATCTCCATGTCATCGAGTTGTCGATACGCTCCGTTCCTCACCCAGAGCTTTGTGGAGGTACTCAGTTTTCTCTTGGTTCTGTATCATGTAGCGGCTCCGGATGGTGGGCGCTGCATGTACGCTGAGACTGGCACTGCATTTCCTGCGTCCAAATGCCTCTCGAACAGGGCAAACATCCGAACTGAGCGACCGTACAGCATGTAGTGTGATTCCGGTTGATGGCGAATCGTGATCGATTCTCTTCCCAGGTCTGTAGTGATAGTCCCTATACAGCCAACATGGCTGGGTCGTTGGTGTTGTTGTAGGCACAGCTCGGCAGCTCCAACCCCAAGGTATATCACAGCTTTGGCTTCTCCGCCAGCAACTTCTCCAGACCAGTCTTGAGCTGGTCACTCATGCCATCCTTCCCAGGTCGGCGACTGTCGCGGTCGACGAAAACGTGGATGAACTCGCCGACGGCCTTGACCTCCTCTTGGCCCCTTTCGAAGACACCGATCTCGTATGTGACGGAACTCTTGCCAAGCTTGTTGACCCGTAACGCGAGGTCTACGACGGAAGGAAACTCGACTGGAGCAAGGTAATCGCAGTGCGAGTGTACGACGAGGCCGATCTGTGGGGAGGTAGGCGGGTGCAGTGAGCAGTGCTTGATGAGGTACGTGTTGACTACTGAGTCAAATCTGCTCATAATTAGTAAGCTTCGCTTGTAGGAGTGAAGAGACATACAGATAATAATAGACGCTGTTGTTCATGTGGTGGTACATGTCATTGTCGCTCCTTCCTACTGTCAGTACCGAGAAGAACCTCGCGCGAGGACACGCACCATCTTGTCCTGTATTCGAGTTGGAACTTGTAGTCGCCCCGTGTACGCGACTTCAATGCCTGCTGTGCCATGTTGACTTTTCTGGTTGTTGGTGTTGGAGGAAGACGCGTCTCGGACATGAAGATGGCCGGCTAGTTGGCTGCGTCACCCATCAGCCTCGGCTTGCGCAGCATGGATTTCTCCCACACGCACCTCAACCCCTCTCCCCCGCGATTCTGGCGCCCTCTCCGCGCATCCTCGCATACCTCGCCTCCAAGGGCCGCCTGCCTGTGCCCAAGACTCGCACAGGCTTTCCCTCCATGGCCCTAGTGCCCTCGCCCCCGCGCGATAAATACCCGCCCCTGCCCGACGACAAATTTCCCTGGAAGGAGCCGCCCGCCGTCGCAATCACGCCCTGCGATCCCTGGCCGCGCCCATACTACCTCGAAGATGGCCTGCGCAAGGTCACGCCCTACCACTTCACATACAACACCTTCTGCAAGGAGAGATGGCGGGGCAGAGAAATTCTCGACATCTTCGCTAGCGAGTTCCGCGACCGGCCCGCAGAGTACTACAAGCAGGCCATAGAAGAGGGTCGCGTCGTTATCAATGGCCAGCCAGTCCCGAGCACGAAGACGATAGTCAAGAACGGCGATGTCATATCCCACACCCTCCACCGCCACGAGCCTCCATGCACCGCGCAGCCCATTGGCATCGTCCACGAAGACGACAACATGATCGTCATCAACAAGCCCGCCGGCATGCCCGTACACCCCGCCGGCCGCTACAACTTCAACTCCATCATCGAGATCATGAGGGCCGATCGTGGCTATACCTGGAACCCGTTGCCCTGCAATCGGCTGGACAGGCTCACCAGCGGCATCATGTTCATTGGCAAGCACAAGCAGGCGGCAGAGGAGTTGAGCGCACAGATCAGAGGGAGGACGGTCAAGAAGGAATACATCACGCGAGTGGTAGGCGAATTCCCAGAAGGAGAGATCCTCTGCGAGAAGCCTATCTTACAGATCAGCCCGAAGCTCGGTTTGAACCGCGTGCGCGCAAACGGCAAGGAAGCGAAGACGGTCTTCAAGCGGTTGGCTTACTACCCACCCAAAGATGACGGAAATAATGGCGAGAAGCAGGATGGAGAGACAGGCCCCAACGGTCAGCCGTGGAAGAAACTCCGCGGTTACTCCATTGTGCGCTGCATGCCAGTAACAGGCCGCACCCACCAGCTCCGCGTCCACCTCCAGTTCCTCGGCCATCCCATATCGAACGATCCCATATACGCCAACCAGCGCGTGTTCGGCCCCGCCCTCGGCCGCGGACAATCCGAAGACGAAGACGACGAAGACATCATGTCCCGCCTCTCCCGCATGGGCAAGGAGGAAGTCGCCGACGCGGTAGCATACCACGACGAAATGGTCGATGCCTACAACAAGAGGAAAGCGGAGCGAATGACTGGGGAGAAATGTAAAGTGTGCGATACAGACCTGTATAGCGACCCTGGTGTGCACGAGTTGGGTATCTACCTGCACGCGCGCAGATACAGGTGTGAGGAAGGGAAGTGGGATTATGAGACTGGCTTGCCTGATTGGGCGTTGCCACCACCTGGATACGAAGGCCCTACAGAAAGCACAGCGGAGTCTGATCCTTTGGCCGTGGATCTCAAGAAGCTGGGGTTGGAGGACGATGAGCCCAACAAGGAGACACCCACAAACGGCACCAAGGATACAAAGGCAGCAGCTACTGCGTCAGAAGAACCGAGCGCTACCAGTGCAACCGCTTGAGCGTTGACGCATTGGAAATCGTTGTATATACACAAAAGTTCGAGCATATAGAAGTTTTGAGATACCCATCAATGTATTCTTACTAGCACTGTGTTGATGCTCGTCACTTGTTGTGAGGATATCGCTCCGTATGATTGAAGCTAATCTTCCTCATCGTCATCGCTTTCATCCATTGTATCTCTTCTCTTGCCAGGTACCCTCGGTTTGCGCTCAGTGAGATCTTGATCATTCTGGTCTTCACTTGCCTCATCGCTGTTCTCGATGTATTCGTCATCCTCATCATCGTCCTCGTCTCCGTCCCCATCTTCCTCCTCATCATCCACACTACCCGTCCGAGGCGTTCCCTCCCTCTCCCTCAACTGCGCTTTCAACCCATCCAGAATAGCGCCCAGCCTTGCTTTCAGATCCGGATTCCAAACCTTACTTATCTGGCCGTCCATCTCTTGGATCTTGCTCCTCAACTCTTCTGCTACCTTATCTTCCTCGTCATCTTCTTCGTCATTATCGTCGCCAGAAGCTCCAGGGCCGTCTTCGACCTCGATCTTGCCGCCGAACGCAGCTGCGAAATCGTTGGCGACTTTGCGTTGGGGAATAGCAAAGATGATGTTTTCGATAGATGGAAAGGTCTCAACACCATTCGATGGCGACTTGCTGTTCTTCTTGCTTCCAGATGAAGGAGGAGAGTTGCCACAACCCAACACCTTCGCAAAAGCCTCCGCCACGTCTCGTACTGGATTCCCATACGCTCCAACGCCCCACGCCCCAAGTACTAACCCCTTCACACCCTTTTGTTCCGCTATCCTCAACACACTTCTAATCTTGCTCTCTACAATCTCCCTATCTTTCTTGCTCAGTCTCTTCTCTTCCTCTTCCTCCCCTTCCAATTCGGGAAATCGTAGCATCCCTGCACTGATGACGTCGATGTACCAGCGTTCAGTCGGAGATAGCTCACCCGCGCTATCACCAAGAGGGAGAGCAGAGCGGAAAACGAGCACGTCGTGTGTGTATATACCGCCGTATTCAGGGAGGCGGTAGAAGGTTTCTTTGAGTGATGGGAGCAGGGTTGTGCGTGCGCAGAGGGATTCTTCCGCGGATGTGGCGCCCGTTAGGAGACCGCCACCTGGACGGAGGGGAGAGGCCATGTTCAAGATGCATGGGTTTGGTTGTTTCTTCGACGTCTGCTTTGATATTGTGGTCGTGTTGGCATCGTATGATGAGGGGTTGGCGAGCATATGTGCAGCTGTGAGAGCATCCGTTGTTATCATGCGTATGCATCGCGGTTTCCTGGATGGGTCCGGTGTTGATGTTGCAGCACTATCCAAGTTGAGGTTTGATAATCCTTCGTCGAGAGAATCATTGCGTTTCTTGCCTCTTCCCTTTCCCCTTCCTTTGCCAGCATCTCTCCCCACATCACCATTCCTTGCATCCCCCTCTTCAACATCGTCTTTCCCACCTTTTACCTTCCGCCTCCCTTGACCCTTCCTCTTCACATAGTCCGTATCTTCACCACCCTCAACACGTGCACCAACCCTACTCTTACTATCCTGCCCCACCGTGCCGTTCGGCCCCGGGTTCGGAATAAGCTCACTCCCGTCCGCACCTCGCCTAGCTCTTGCACTTGATGCCAATATTGCAGGAACGACTTTGTTCACCACGTGCCGTGCTTGTTTGGCTCGGATATCTTTGCGCACGGCGGGTGGCGCAAGACCCTGGGATTTTTCGGTGCGGCCCATGACCGCGGGATTGCGCGTATCTCTAGTTTTCTGGTTATGGGTGTGGAAACCTTCGTAACAGAAGGAGGCGACGTGACCAAAAATCCGAGAGGGTCTTGCTCAAGTCGTTGCTGCTATTCGCGAGTACTATGTTGGTTGGTCTGGTCGTCGCTGGTTGGTTGAGACTACCTAGGTATGACGTTTTTGGGCGGGTCTGGAGCTAGTGGAGCTAATGCCCTTCGCTCGTCGAGCTGCTCCCTCCTTGCTTTCTGCATGCACCACGATCTTCAGGCCCTGGTCAGGCGTCGGTGAATGTGTTGCGCATGTGCTCCTTTCCATTGCTCAGA